AACGGAGGCAGGGCTGGCGGCTCACGGCTGTCATCCCAGCGCTTTGGGAGGCCGAGGTGGGAGCACGGTGTGAGCCCAGGAGTTTGAGACCAGCCTGGACGACATCGCGAGATCCCCGTCACTACAAAAGATCAAAACGTCAGTCGGGCGTGGTGGCACGCGCCTGTAGTCCCAGCTGCTCAGGAGGCTGAGGCGGGAGGACTGCCTGAGTCCAGGAGTTTGAGACTGTGGTGAGCTGTGATCGCGCCACTGCACGCCAGCCTGGGCAAGAGAGTGAGGCTCAAAAAATAAAATAAAGTAGGCCAGAAAAAATAAATACAATAAATAATAAAATTAGCTAGCCCAGAAGGAATTATAGAAGGCTGGGAGATACCTTGAACCCGCCCTTCTGTCTCCCATGAGGGGTGACCGGCGCAGGACCGGACTTGACCACATGAGCTGCGTCAGCCCTGTCTCCAGGGATCCTTGCAATTCATGGGGGTGGCTGACATGAGGTGCGTGGACAGTGTCACACAGCCCAGCCACCCTGGACCAGCCCTGTCCCTCTTACAAGCATGTTCTCCGAAGGCACCTGACACCCGGCATGGCCTCACCTCGCCAAACCACACCAGCGGCAGGACCACGGGCTCAATCTTCCCGGTTTGCCTAGAAATGAGAGAAACAAAGGGCGTGAGCACAGGCCGCCCAGACCTCTACCTCGTTCAGCTTGGTTGTAACTACTCAGCAAAGCCACCATGTTCGCACACCCGTTAGCCCACCACCCGCACGTGAGGTGAGCTCAGCACACTCCAGAGCCGGCACTCCAAAACAGCCTGGGTAACATAGTAAGACTTCGTCTCTACAAAAATCTCTCCCCTCAGCACTCGCCTCTACAAAAAATAAAAAAAATTAGCAGGCATGGTGGCGCATGCCTGTAGTCCCAGCTACTTGGGAGGCTGAGGTGGAAGGATCGCCTGAGTCCAGGAGGTTGAGGTTGCAGTGAACTGTGACCGTGCCACTGCACTCCAGCCTGGGCAGCAGTGAGACACGTCTCAAAATAAAAAATAAAAAAGAACTACCTCCTGACAGGTGAAAACCAAGAGAGTGCCTGTTAAAACCTGGATTTGGACTCCTTTAGAAAGATGCAGAGGATGTGGCCATGACGGAGGCCCAGTCAGCTGTGCCAGGCGGGGTGGATGGCACGCAGCCCACCTCACACAGCCTGCCAGGCTCCCTGCCCAGCCCATGGCATCTGAGTTGTGGCCCCAGTGCTGCATGGCAGACCTGAGAGTGCGCTTGGGCTACCGACGCCTCGCCCGTGCCCGGTGCTGTCTCGCCACCCACAGACCCATCAGGAACAAATGCCCTGAGTGTCCCAAAATGGAAAAGTCAGACTCAAGGGTAGGCGTGACAGCCACACGCCGCCAGCGCAGATCCTGCCATGCTACGAAGCAGGAGTCTTCATGGCTGAAGGCATCCGACAGAGCTGGACAGCTGCTCTCACCTGCAGCCAGGATCCCACAGGGAAAACTGCTGACAGTGACACCGGCTCAAACACGCTAAGCAATGCAACATGGATGGCAAGTCAGCCCAATCCCCCACCAGCCCACCGGCATGTCACGCGCGTGCAGGATGGGGACTCAGAGCCCTCTGGCGCTGCAGTGAGAGGGAGGGGACAGCAGCCATGGGAGGGTCTGGCTACTCCTGCCCGTCATGCTCAGAGCCTCTGTGTGGCCAGCGATGCCGCCCAAGTGTGGGCCCAAGAGAAGCGAGAACCGGCGTCCACACCAAAATGTGTCTGCAAGCGCCCACAGCAGCGCCATTAGTGATGGCCAAAAAGTGGCAACAGCCCAGACGTCCGTCAGCGGATGAGGATGCCATCTGTCCACGCAATGGAGTGTCATGCAGTGTGAAAGGCCTAGAGCCCTGCCACGACATGGACGAACCCTGAAAAAAACATCACCCGAGAGAAAGCACCAGGCACAAAAGGCCAGCATGGACCTGGCGGTGCCTGCGGCTAAGAAGAGAGAGTGACTGCTCTGGGTCCAGGGTGTCGGGGTGACAGGAGTGTTCTAAAACTGACTGGCGTCAGACACACGGCTCCACGAATGAGCTATGCAGACCGCCGAATGGGACATCGTAAAAGGGTGAGTTTCATGGCGTGTGAACTGTCTCCATAAAGCTGTTATTTTAAAAATGGAAAAAGAGAAAAATCAGTGTTTTTCCAAAGCATATAGTCAAAATTAAGAATGCTGCTTCAGCCGGGCTCGGTGGCTCAGCCTGTCATCCCGCGCCTTTGGGAGGCTGAGGTGAGTGGATTTCTGAGCCCGCGGGTTCGAGACCCGCTGGGCAATTTGGCGAGACCTCATCTCTACAATAAATAAAAAAATCAGCCAGGCGTGGTGGCACATGCCTGTAATTCCGGCTACTCGGAAGGCTGAGGTGGAAGGATTGCCGGAGCCCAGCAGGTTGAGGCTGTGGTGGCCGGGAGCGGCCACTGCACTCCAGTCTGGGTGACAGAGTGAGACTCCAACTCAAAAAAAAAAAAAAAAAAAAGAATGCTGTTTCCAGCCAGTTGCAGTGGCTCACGCCTGTAATCCCAACACTTTTGGAGGCCAAGGCAGAAGGATCTCTTGGGGCCAGGAATTCAAAACCAGCCTGGGTAACATAGTGAGACTCCATCTCTACAAACAATTTTAAAAATTAACCAGGTGTGATGACGCACACCTGTTGTCCCAGCTGCTTGGAAGGCTGAGGCAGGAGGATCACTTGAGCCCAGGAATTGGAGGCTGTGGTGAGCCATGGTCGTGCCACTGCTCTCCTGCCTGAGCGACAGAGCAAGACTCTGTCTCTAAAAAGGAAAAAACAGGAATGCTCTTTGGCAAGTTTCCATTTTCAAACCCTTGGTTTTGCCAGGCTTTAACTTTTGACCTCTGTGGCGTGACGGACAGCTTGGCTTGGAGACTCTGCCTCATTTGGGGGGAAAATGTTAAGAAAGAAAAAGGGAGTTCTGGGAGGGCATCAGAGTAGTACCACGCTGGGACTCTGCCGAGGGTGGAGGGACTGGCCTGGACTCCGCCTCCAGAAGACCCCTCCCTCCAGGCTGGTTCTGGGCGTCTGGGCCCACCGCCGTCCCTGGGCCTGCGTGAGTGGCACAGTCCGGCCCCAGCCCCACTCACCCGATGCCTTTGACAGCTTTGATGAACAGGCTCAGCTGCAGCTTCACGGAGCAATTCATGGGGATCCCAGTGACCTGCGGCAATGATAGGCAGTGAGGACACCAGCCACCTCGGGCCCCAGGGACACCGGTAAGCCCCAGTCCCACTCGGGAGGGTGGGCGGCCCAGCTCCACCACCCAGCGGAGCTTGCTTGGACCTGACCTAAAACAAGCAACAGGGCAGGGCAGGGGGAACTGCTGGTCTAGAAATTCCACACACTCTCCGCCCCGGTCTCCTCTGCTGCTTTTGAGCCCCTACGGGCGGCCTCAGGGACCTCTATAAAGTGAGCCTCACACAGGGAGGACAGCACAGAACCCCTTCCACCTGTCACCTTTCTTTCTTTTATTTTTAGTTAGGGTCTCACTCTGTCGCCCAGGCAGAAGTTCAATAGTACAGTCACGGCTCACTGCAGCCTTGACCTGTTGGGCTCAAGTCATCCTCCTGCCTCAGCCTCCCAAGTAGGTGGGAGTATAGGTGCACACCACCATGCCTGGCTCATCTTTTAAACTTTTTGTAGAGATGAGGTCTCACTATGTTGCCCGAGCTGACCTCAAACTCCTGGGCTCAAGTGATCCTCCCTGCCGTGGCCTCCCAAAGGGCTGGGATTGTAGACATGTGCCACCATGCCCAGCTGTTTTTTTTTTTTTTTTAAATGAAACTTTTTTTTTTAAGTAAATAACAGAAGTGCCACCAAAAACAGGAAGGTCGCTCCGGAATGAAGCCAGGAAGTCTGCGTAGAGAGTAAACTAGAGTTGAGGTTGGAGAAGCACAGCTGGTTCTTCTTAGCTGAGCCGCATCTCCTCATCTGAAGGGATAGTGCAAGCCACCTCGCAGGATTCGGGCAAGGACAGGGCATGGAGACGGCACCCCGGGCATGAGGGCCACCTTCAGGAGGGTGTCACCTGCTGCCATAGCCCCGCCGGCTGAGACCCTTCCAGGCTCCTGGGGAAGGAGCTTATCGAAGGCCTCATCCCAGGCTGGGGAGGCACTGAACTTGAGAGCCTGGCAACGGGAGTAAGCTTGCCCTGGTGTAGACAGAGCTCACGCTGCTGGCCTGAGGCCGCCCAGGGCTAGTGGCTGGAGCTCGGGCCTCGGGTCCCCCCATTCCCTGGCTGGCAGAGGTCCACGTGCCTGAATTATCTGCACACACCACGTGGTTCATGCCAAACATCTGCTTTCCTTCTGGGAGCCCAGAATCTTGGCGTCTGCCGGGCAGAGGTGCCCACAGCAGCCGCCAGTGAAACCCTGGGTGCGGGGCCTCTCTGCTGGGCTTCCTGGGAGACCACATTTCAGCAGTGCTGTCACAACACACTGGAGGATCAGGGCGATCTGTGCGACCCTGGGGGGGGACTCCGGGCGCTTGAGCCTGGCCTCGCCCTGTGAGACTCCACCCTGTGCTGACTGCTGTGACTCCTGCAGCCATGACCCTCACTAGCTGTGAGTCCGCCACAGCTAAGCCCTGTGAATTCCCGTGCAGCCGTGGAGCCTGGGGTGGCCAAGGGACCTCGAGGCAACCTGCCATTCTGGGGACTCCCCTCGGACAGCTTCCTTCCCCAAGAAACACGTCCAAGCCCTCCTGGCTCATTCTCCATCGTGGTCGGGCCACATCTTGGCGGACACAGCACCCTGTGCCACACGCCACCGAGACCAGAAACTCGGACCCAGGCACCCACCCCGTTCCCTGCCCTCTCCGATCTCAGGAGCAGAAAAGCAGCCACAGAAGCAGCTTATGACAAGCGTCTGGTTTTTGAGGCTCCAAGCCCAAAAACCCAGAGCCTGCGTCCTCTCCCTGGTGGCCTCATGCTGCCCTGGAAGCAGAGACAGGGCATCAGCCAACAGGGCTGGGGAGGATGATTGTGCGCCTCTCCCTGGGCTCCCAAACTCACCCCGTTCTGGACATGGAGAGAAAAAGTCTACATGCTAAGACAGAAGTCACCGCTGAGAGCACAGAGGAGACTGTGCATGGTGGGATTCTCCGGCAGCCGCAGAGCGAGAGGGCAGTGGGGTGAGTGGCCGACAGGGGGGGAGGAAGCCGGCCAGGGAGGCCAGGGGTCGGGCCAGGCTGAGACATGGAAAGGGCGCAGAGGAGCGGTGAGAACAGGGCTCCCGGGGAGCTTCAGGAAGGCCCGGGAATATGCCGGCCACCACGGACGAGGGTACAAGTTTCTGCGAGCAACTAAAAACTGAGCTGCCCCGGACCCCGCGATGCCACCCCTGGGCAGCCACCAAAGGAGAGGAAATCAGTACGTCAAGGAACCGCCTGCACTTGCTTGGCCACAGCTGCCAAGATGTAGGATTCCACCTGAGTGTCCACCAGTGGATGGACAAGGCAGATGTGGTGCCTACTATGATGGAATACTAATCAGCCCTAAAAAAGGAGGCCGGGCCCAGTGGCTCATGCCTGTAACCCCAGCACTCTGGGAGACCCAGGTGGGAGGATCGCTTGAGGCTGGGAGTTCAAGACCAGCCTGGGCAACACAGTGAGGGAACTCAGGAAACAGAAACCCATAGAATTTTTGAGCCGATGATAGAAGCCACCGAGTCCAACTGGGCACATTTTACGAAGGACACAGGTGCCAGGAGTGAGGCCGCCGGCCGGGCACGGCTACACGTGCACAGGGTCTGTTGCCCTCCGGCCTCTGCCTGTAGACAGAACTCCCCACGGGACAAATTCCCCAGAACTGACTTATCTGAGGATGTTCCAGGCTCTCGTCGGTACCCAGAGATCTTTATGGCATCTTGGTACAGCTGTGGGGCTGCCCCGGCTAATTAGCAGGAGACACTCGGCTGATAATCCCTAATTAATTTACTGTCTTATGGCCCGTTCGCAGAACCAAGCCCCTGAGGGAGGGATGATAAAACCTCTGAACTATGGAGTCAGGGTAAAGTCGCTGCCTGGGACTTTCTCCTGTCACCCCACCTGGCCCCGCACTGGGCCTGGGGGGAGGTGGCGGCCAAGGCACGGTGGAAAGCCACCCCCGGGCAGACAGGGCTCACCGGATGGATGTCCAAGAACAAGGAGTGCTCCTCCTGGCTGGGGTGCAGGCCGCCCACCGCTGCGGCCAGGACGGGGTCAGCGTTGAGGAAGTGAGGCTGGGACAGGAACAGAGGGGCACCTGGAAGGCAGGGGGCAGAGAGGGCATGAGGCACAGGCTGGGGAGCATCAAGGGACACAGCCCCAGTGGCGGGGACAAGCCGCGAAGCCGGTGCCCAGAGAGGGAGGGCACCGACCCATCAGGGGACCTGCTGAAACCACGGGGGGTGAGCAGGCACCATCAGTCACTGGCCGCAGCCGGAGAGACCAAGGAGGGTCCCCAGCAGACACCAGGGGACGTGTGGGAACGGCCTTCCGGAGGAGAGGCAGGGCAGGCCGGGGAGGAAGGTAAGTCAAGGCCAGAGTGGGATGGGAGGTGTCTCGAGTGCCAGCCTCGCAGCCCAGGCTCTCCTCCGTGGGCAAGACCCCAGAGCTCCGGTGTGCACACCTGTGGCCGGGTCCCGTGTCTGCAGCAGGGAGAAGACACACCAGCTTGCTCTGCTCCCAGCAGCCGGTCCAGTGCATGTGGGCAGGACCGACCCGACCCCTCCAAGGGAGATTTACACCCAGAAACATGAGGCCGGACCTCGCCACTGACCAGTCAAGCCACGTGCCAGCTCACCCTCAGGACAGGGCCAGGGCCCAGTGACCACACGCACAAGGAGCAGCAAGCCTCTCTCGAAAGCTCACGGGTCCCAAAGGCAGACCCGAGACACAGCAGGCTGGCAGCGGCTGGGGGTGACCGTGGATGAGTCTGGGGTCCCCTTCTGCGGAGACGGAAATGTCCTGGGCTGGGGTAGTGGCTGCACAGCCCTGTGACTGCACCAAATGCCACTCACTGTGCACTGGACGGGGTGAGTTTTATGCTGCATGAATTTCATCCCCGTTTTAGAAAAAGAAAATCGCAGAGGCTCCCTCCGTCAGACCTCAGCCCCCCACCGCGCCAGCTGGGATGCGCTCTCGCCTGTGGCCTCTCTGCCTGGCAAGGCCAAGGGGTTTCCTTAGCAACGCCAGGCCCCGGCTTCACACAAAGCTGGGAGGGCATCGGGGTCGAGCCTCATGCTTCCCCGGACTCCCTTCCCTCCGCATTCCTCCCACATGGTTCATTCCAGGGCCCTTCCATTCCAGCACGTCCAGACAGCCTCCCACTGTCCGGTAATGTGCTCTGCTGAACCAGCTGCCGTTGCCACCGCCTTCCTCCAATATCTGTATTGTAAAAGCCAGTGAGGGCCGGGCACGGGGGCTCAGGCCTGTGCTCTCAGTACTCTGGGACGCTGAGGTGGGAGAACCGCTTAAGTCCAGGAGTTCAAGACCAGCCTGGGCGACACAGCGAGACCTCATCTCTGCAAAAAATTTAAAAAATGTGCCCGGCACAGTGGTGCACACCTCTAGTCCCAGCTACTCCGGAGGCTGAGGCGGCAGAATGGCCTGAACCCAAGGGGTCGAGGCTGTGGTGGGCCATGATGGTGCCAAGGCACTCTCCAGCCTGGATGACAGACTCTGACTCAAAAATCAATAAAATAAAAAATATAAGTAAATCAACAGAAGGAAGCTTTACATCTGTGCCATCACTGACAAATGCTTGCCACATAGAAAGTACCTATTTGGGGTTGTACATTTATTTTTATTTATTAGAGACAGGGTCTTGTTCTGTGGTCCAGGCTTGAATGCAGTGATATAATTATAGTTCACTGCAGCCTCGAACCCCTGGGCTCACGTGACCTTCCAGCGCCACCCTCCTGAGTAGCTGGGACAGGACTACCTGCACACACCGCCATGGGCAGCTAATTGCTTTGTTTATTTATTTACTTAAAGTGAGAATGCAAGATTTATTGAGAGGACAGAAAAGCTCCCACAGTGGGAGGGGACCCGAAGGGGTTGCCTGTTTTAATTTTTGTAGAACTGAGGTCTCACTATGTTGCCCAGGCTGGCCTCAAAGTCCTGAGCTCAAGCAATCCTCCTGTCTTGGCCTCCCAAAGTGCTGAGATTACAGGCATGAGCCACCACACCCAGCCTGAAAGTAAGTATATGAATTAATACAATGGAAACCAGCGAATGTTATAAGTTCTAAGTAGACACTGTGTCCTGCACAAGGCTTTGACTGTGAGCCCTGCTCTTTCTGTTAAAAAAAAGACAGACTCAGCCGGGTTCAGTGGCTGAGCCCAGGGGTCGAGACCAGCCTGGGCAATGTGGCAAGACCTCATCTCTACAATAAATCAAAAAATTAGCCGGGCATGGTGGCACATACCCATAGTCCCAGCTACTCAGGAGGCTGAGATAGAAGGATTGCCTGAGTCCAGCAGGTCGAGGCTGCAGTGAGCCGTGTTTGTGCCACTGCACTCCAGCCTGGACAACATAGTGAGACCCCAACTCAAAAAAAAATAAAAAAGGACAGCTGATTCCAGCCCTCTCAGCACTACAGAGACCGCCTTCTGGAGGGGACAGGAGGAAAGGAAGCGGAAGCTCTGTCACGTCCTCTACCCCCGGAAGCCATCCTGTGTCCACAGAGACGACGCCCTCCACTGCTTGGAAAACCTGCCTCCTGTCCTCCCTCTCAACCGTGGAAGGTGACCAGCAGGAACCCCTGTGTGCAAGTGGTGACACTCTCGAGGCCATGGGGAAGGCCCTGGAGGATCGCAGACAAGCCCTGTCCTACCTGCAGCCTGAATGGAGACCTCACGGGCCGAGCACCCGCCAATGGCCACCCTCAGCTCACCACGAGCTTGTTACCAAAGCTTATTACCTGAGCTTTTTACCAAACGAGCTTATTACCAAAGGTGCTGAGAGCCCCACCCGGCAGTAAGTGCTAATTAATTTACAGCTTTATGGCACATATAGCCAGACATAATCACCCTTAATTGCCCTGAACGATAACCACAGGCTCCCCGGGGCAAGGCAGAGGCCAGCTTGGCATGAGGGAGTTGTCTGGGTCCAAGAATTTCCAAGGCTGGGACGGGCAAACGTAGGGGACCTGTTCTCTCCAGACAAAACTGTGCAGAAGTGCAGACACACTGGGCAACGTGGGGCAGCACAGCCGCAGCCAAAAGTGAGACCTTAAAGACGGGGCGAGAAAACCCAGGCAGTTCCCACGGAGGAATACTAGATGGCCAGGAAGAGGAGGAAGAGGTGCTCGGGACCATGGACGGACACAACGGGCCAAGTGGAGGCAGGAGGCCACGCCCTGTTCCCTGCTTGTGAAGACCCAAATGGGCAGAGCTCTGGTGTCAGAACTCAGGACCCAGGGCGGGGCGGGGCAGGGTTGGGAGCGGGTGGCCACCAGGGCCAGTGCGTGCTGATTCTCGTCAGGGTGTGGGCCACACGGGCGTGCTCGCTGTGGGATGTTTCAAACTGCATGCGTCATTTGAGCACGCCTCTGGTATCTATGTATGTTTCTACTTCAAAGAAAAAACTATTCCAAAAAAATTTTTTCTTTTTTTTTTTTGAGACAGGGTCTCACTCTGTTGCCAGACTGGAGTGCAGAGGCACCATCATAGCCCACGGTCACTTTGGACTCCTGGGCTCAAGTGATCCTCTGGCCTCAGCCTCCCCTGTCACCCAGACTGGAGTGCAGTGGCCACTCCTGGCCACCGCAGCCTCGACCCGCTGGGCTCCGGCAATTCTTCCGCCTCAGCCTTCCAAGTAGCCGGAACTACAGGTGCGCGCTACCATGCCTGGCTAATTTTTAATTTATTGTGGAGATGAGGGCTCACCAAGTTGCCTAGGTGGGTCTCGAACCCGCGGCTCAGGCAATCCACTTACCTCAGCCTCCCAAAGTGCGGGATTACAGGCTGAGCCACCGAGCCCGGCCAAATAAATATTTTTAAAGTCCCTGGCATGTCTCGAATGTGCTAGGAGAAGGCAGGGCCACCTTGTCCCCAGCTCTCTGGAGGGGTGGGCATGTCGCTGTTCCCCTTCTTCTGCTACCACTCTCCAATCTAGAACCCTCCCTGCTCTCAGCCTTGTGCTTTGAATGGGGGCAGGCCCCACCTGGAGTGGGGCAGATCATGTGACACAAGTCCGGCCAATCAGCATAGTCCACCCTCAGCTGCTGGGATTGGTTCACAGCTGGGCAGGGGATATAAGGCAGACCAGTCAGAGTGAGCCCTGGGACTTTTGCTGGAGGGAGGAGCCAGGGGGGCCCTTTCTGCAGGGCTGGGAGCTGGGAGGGGGTGAGCGGAGCCTCCTTTGCAGGAGCCGGGAGCGAGAGCCACCAGGGAGAGCCTGCCTGGGGCCCAAGACTGAGCTGGGACTTGGCAGAGGCAGCTGCCAGGCAAGATCCAGGCGCTGGACCCGTGCCTGACACTGGGGTCTGCCCAGAATTTGGAGTTGTGTTTAGTGCCCTCCTGGTCTACATCAAGCGGTGTCTAGCACCTGCCACTTGCTACAGAAGCTGCTGTGAGTCCTATCAGATTTACAACTGAAGACAGACCTAAGAAGCCCTGGCCGGGCATGGTGGCTCACGCCTGTCATGCCAGCAATTCAGGAGGCTGAGGCAGGAGGGTTGCTTGAGGCCAGGAGCTCAAGACCAGCCTGGGAAACATAGCAAGACTCGTCTCCACAAAAATAAAAATAATTTTTTTAAGAAAGCCCTGTCGGCCAGGTTCAGTGGCTCAGCCTATAATTCCAGCACTTTGGGAGGCTGAGGCGAGTAGATTGCCTGAGCCCGCGGGTTTGAGACCAGCCTGGGCAACTTGGCGAAACCCTGTCTCTACAATTAAAAAAAAAATTAGGCATGGTAGCACATGCCTGTAGTTCCAGTTACTTGAAAGGTTGAGGCAAATGGATTGCCAGAGCCCAGCAGGTCGACACTGGGGTGGCTGTGAGTGTACCACTGCACTCCAGCCTGAGCGACAGAGACTCCAACTCAAAAAAAAAAAAAAAAAAAAAAC